CTCCTGGTGCCCCTCTCCTACCAGGAACTAGTCCCCTGGAATAGCGAGTCAAAGTTTTAACAGCAATAACCTTGACATGAGCGACAGTTCAAATGGTAGCTCTTTTATTTAGCTAAATAAAAGGCGGACGGAAGTCACGCCTCCAAGTGTAGGCAAGGAAAAAAAAACCTGTAATGAAGAGGAAGACCAGGACTTATATAATATTGGTTATGCAGGGGAATGGGAGGAGAAATGGGTGGTTCATGAGCTATTGGCAGAAGGGATGGGATTACAAAGGAATCCAAACTTTATTGGAGTGGGAATCACAGAAGGGATAGAATTTTACGACAGGGTGGTTCTATAGACAGCAATTATGGAAATACATGTGTACATTGTTGTATTGTTCTGACAGGAAAGCAATTTATTATCTTGCAAAGAGGTTACAAGGTTGGGTGAAAACGAAACTTCCAAGGCGATAAGAAAATGGTATTGTGCAGGGAGATACTGCCCAGATTCCAGAGTTCAAGCTGCATAAGATTGGTCCTGGTATTCGCCTGAGGGAAGAGAGAGAGACAAAACCCAGCTATCCTGCTGGTGGAAGGAGCAACCACTGCTGTGTCTGTTTGCTTCTCCAATCTAGATTGGAAAGCAAGATAGGCCGCCCTGGCAAAGGAAACCTGGCCAGCCTTATTCCTTCACAAAGACTCTTTGTGAAGGAATGAAGAACATGTACATATTGCTGTTTTATTTAGCTAAATAAAAGGCGACGGAAGTCATGCCTCGAAGTGTAGGCAAGGAAAAAACGTGTCATGGCTGGCTGTGTTTTATCTCTCCAAACTGCATTCTGTGTGATCTGATCAAAGGTGTGTTCTTCCTGCTTGTTTGTGTACATGGTCCTATCAATATCTCCTGGAATTCAGCTGTTCTGTTTAGAACCAGTGACTTTTACAAAAGCAAGCAAATGGGTGGAGATTCATGTTCAGCGTGCAGAGGCAATGCCCAATTCATTCTGCAAAGCAGACCCCTTGTTTGGACCCCATACCACTCTGTTCCCTGAATTTTATCTTTTCTGTTAAAAGCAATGAGTTTTGCCAAAGCGGGTAAAGAAGCTGAGATTCATTTGTAGCCCAGAAGGACGACCCCTGAGGTTCTCTGCAAAGTGGCAACATTGTTTTCCCTTCTGAACCCTTTTCCTTTCTTTTACTACATGGCACTCTTGACAGGAACTCCCTGTTAAATGAACCAGATTGGTACCTTCTCTGTTGTCCTTCCAGTAACAGACAAATATTAGTTTGTTTATTTAGGAAGCGCATAGATTTTTTTTATGGTTTTCATCTCTTATTGTTCTGGTTTAATTATGGTATTCATTTATTTATTTTTACATGATTTTCAGTGAAGATTCAGTATTTTATCTTTATTTCATTGTTGAAAGCTACTTTTGAGTCCCTTTCTTGGTAGAAAGGCTATATGTAGATCATATATTGAAGAATGAATGAATCAATCAATCAATCAATCAATCAATATACATCACAGTAACATGCTTTTGTATGTAGTGAAGTTGGTGCATTTGCAAAAATCCATAGTGCTTCTCATGACTGCTAGGTGTGGGATTCTGGAAAGCATCCTCCAAAAATGTAAAATTTCCATCTGTGGGTAGATCCCAAGGCTTTTCTGTACCTTTTCGTTCAGAAACATCGTAGGAGTGGTTTCTTCCTTTTGCAAAACCAGATCTCAGTTATGCAATCTCAGTGCCAGGAAACAGTGCTAATGATGACATCAGCAAGTACAACGAACGATTCAGTCAAATAAATGGCTGGAATCAGTGAAACAGTGATCTGAGCAAATATCGATTCTGTTCTGTCCCTGAATAAAAAAGGAATTGGCAAGTACATTCTTCCTTAACTTTGGGCCTGAATGGAATGATAATTGTGAATTTCTGGGTAATAGGAAGGAAAGTGTGTTCTACCTCTCCACAAAATGTTGGCCAGTGTATTGCCCCCACATGGGTGGGTGCCTTTAGTTTTCCAGTCCCATTTTGGGATAGGGGGAATATGACAAGAAAGAATATAGCTATTAAAATCAGTGAAAATAAAACACGGGGCCAGGTCTGTGTTTGAGAGAGAGGCAAGAGGGCGGGCTGCTTTCCGGCAGGAGCCCCTTCTCCGCTGAGGAGTCCCAATTGACGTGTGTGGCAACAGATGACGGCTCTCCAAACGTCATTGAATGCCCACGCCTGGCTGCCATTCTAGATTTCCACTGTGTCCAGGGTGGATTTGATTTAAATGTTTAAAGTCGTTTTATTTTTCATGGTTTAGAGGCAAGAGGGCGGGCTGCTTTCCGGCAGGGGCCCCTTCTCCGCTGAGGAGTCCCAATTGACGTGTGTGGCAACAGATGACGGCTCTCCAAACGTCATTGAATGCCCACGCCTGGCTGCCATTCTAGATTTCCACTGTGGATTTGATTTAAATGTTTAAAGTTGTTTTATTTTTCATGGTTTGAATTCTTTAAAAATCAATTTGTTTCATTTAAATCGTAATTTAAATCAATTTGATTTTTTAAAAAAATCATTGATTTTTATCCACCCTGGCTTTGTCCCTTGCAAGGTGCCACTTGGAGGCACTGTAAAAAATTAAAATGGCAGTTAGATTTACAATCGCTGCTGCCTAGACCTGATCTGAGCATCAAGAGAAGTTCAGTCTGGGCCTGAGGACAATCGCTGTGAAGGGGCCGGTCAAGAGCCTAGTCCCTAGCAGCTGCTCAAAGAGCCTATCATGTCTTGGTGCCAGATCTGGTTATAAATTAAACCTCAGTGGTCTTCCAAGCTTTTGCACAAGCTGTAGATTTGAGGAATACCTTTTATTCTTGTTACATGTTGTTCAATTGCATGGGACTTAATTGTGGCCCTCATAGGGTTTTCAAGGAAAGTGAGAAATTTAAGCAGTGGTTTTACCATTGCCACCCTGAAACCTACACAGTAGATTTCCATGGCCAAGTAGGGGTTCGAGTCCTAGTCTGTCCTTCTTCCCACTAGGCCACCATGGATCTTGCACCTCTTTTTTTAAATAGAGGCCACTCCAGCATTGCAAAAGTAGCACAAAGGTGAGGCGAGGACTCTTTGTCAGGTGTGAAATCAGAGGATGATGAAGACTCAATGTCAGGTCTGGCATATTGGCCACTGTCTGTGTCAGGTGTGAAATCAGAGGATGATGAAGTCAGGTCTGGCATATTGGCCACTGTCTCTCTCTCTCTCTCTCTGTAGCTGCAAATATATTGAATCCACACTCTAGGAAGAGAAAAAACAGCTGAAGAATCAGTTTCCAGTACCAGGGGGAATGTTAGTAGCTCTGGAAGCCAAATTCTTGTCTCAAGATCCCATCAAGGCTGGAAATGGTCAGAAAAAGACAATGAAAAACAGACAAATGAATGCTTGGACAGGCATTTGAGGTTTTTAGACCCCTGGAGGGCTGCATGTGGTCCACTCTGGTTTACTGCTTGCTGGAATCCATGTTCCTCCACATACGTTTATTGTCTGAATAAACTCACCTTTTTAAAAAAAAAATTGGAATTACATAGAGATCTGTACAATATTTACACGTGCTAATGTATGGTTGGGAATCTTGTTTTGCCTTGTGTGTTGAATTTCAGTTTAGGAAAAATCCAAAGGGACGTACGTACCCCAGCAATGAATGAAGGAGAGACCAAGACCAAGATTAGAATCAGTGGTTGTGTTGGTAAACCACACAAATGTGTCTAGGTGGAAAATGCTGCTTATCAGTTTGGAGATTTCCCTCCAAAGATATGGGAAAAAATAGCTTGGTTCTGGACATGTCTGCTTGACATGAACGCACATGCAACAATGGTCATGCCCGCAAGGCACAACTCAGTCCCATGCAACATTTTGTTCTGCCTGCAATAATCATAGAAACAATTGCTGTAATTCAAAGAACAACACAGAACTTTTATTGGAGTGGGGAACACTCCGATCAAGTCTTCTCTGTGCCTGCTCAGTCTATACCTGCGGCCACCCGTGAGCTCCTTCAAGAACGCCGCTGGCCCTTCCCGAGAGTTCTTGTCTGAACCAGGAGCAGACAGCCCTTTTAATGTAGGATTGTCATCTGATCTTTTTTTAGGTCCGCCGCTGGCCCTTCCCGAGAGTTCTTGTCGGAACCAGGAGCAGACAGCCCTTTTAACGTAGGATTGTCATCTGATCTTTTTTAGGTCCTTTTAAAAGAAAAAGGTGAGGTAAAATGTTTTAAAACAAATAAAGAAATAAATGAATAAATAAATAAAATCTTCAACCAGAAGACTGACCTTTGTTAAACAGGGAACATTTAATTATGTATTCCTTTGTTTATTTGATCTATATACCTCTTCTCATAGAACTGTGACCTATTGTGGCAACTCTATCTCTGAGGTGTTTTATTTACTAAATTATCCCCCCTTTGCTCAAACATTCTTCTCCAGAGGCCTGGAAAGAAGGAAAACTGAAAACTGAAATGGGCTAGTTTCAGATCCAAGGGTGGTGGGTTGGTTTTCAGAAATGCTTTTCTTTCTTTCTTTCTTTCTTTCTTTCTTTCTTTCTTTCTTTCTTTCTTTCTTTCTTTCTTTCTTTCTTTCTTTCTTTCTTTCTTTCTTTTTGAGAAATACGGTGGGTCCTTTTCAACTGCTTCTTAAGGCCTTTTTCTAAATTATTTTTTAAAAGACACAGTATATCCAAATCAAAATTTGAAAAACTGAATACAATGAGATCCTAAAGCCATGAATAACTGGCTTTGGAACAAGACATTATAGGTAACCAGTAATTAGAGCTGATAGCACACTGGTATTGCAGACATGTGACAGAAGGAATATTTCATGTTTCAGAAACCAGCTGCAGCAAACTTTTATCTGAAGTAGCTTTTCAAGGTCTTATCTCAGTAGTTTGTGTGATAATTACTAATTGACGCAAAACCTGCAAAAGCTAAGTGAAGCCCATTCCTCTTATTGAACAGCCTGCAGTTTGAGTTGTTTTTTTCCTTCAGATCCGTGAGAAGGAGGAGGAAGAGCTTAATGAGAAGAGTGAAAATGACTCTGGTATTAACGAGGAGCCTCTACTCACAGCCGATCAGGTACCTGCCTGTCTCCTTGGCCTTTCCTATGTGAATGATAGAAAATTTTAAGGATATTCCTTCTACTGCATGATTCAAAATGGGCTAGTTTGTGTAATGTCTCCAGCAAGTACTAGTTAATGAAGAGTAGTATTTGTCCTTTAAATGACCAGCTCCTTCCCTTGCTCAGCAAATTTGCCTTGAGTAATTACTCATAACAGTGCTGAAGAACTACTAGATTTATGGACCTCTTGGGAGCTTTGAAAGCCCCCCCCCTTTACCTAATATGGCTGGCTTCCATAACAAAGCAAGCACATGTGTGCAGCAACATCTCATGCTTGGCACATCCTACAGGATGACCTTAGGCACAGCTGATCTTATAACATGACATACATTATGCAGTACATCTTACAGGATGGGGTACTAGCTATGCCTCCTTGAGTCCCTCAAAGGAAAGGTGATATAAAAATGCAATAAATCAGTAATAGAACTGGCTTCACACTTCCATAAAAGGTGAGATTGTGAGTCACTATTTTCAGTCTTCTCAAGGCCACATGTTTCTATTTTTTTAAGGTTCATAAATATATCAGTCTGGGCAAAACTAGGTATCTCATAAGTCTGCCTTTCGTGATTCTTTTATGGGTCTTCTAAAGAACAGTTGGGATAGCTGAAAATTAAGACCTCATAGATTTCGTCTATGGGGCAAGGCAATGCGTGGGAATAAAAAATATGGTGGAAGTTATCTGGGGCGGGTCTAATTTTGCATGCAAAAGCTATAATTATTCTAGCTGATGTCAGAACGGGAGTTGGCACAGAAATGTGGTGTCCTCAGAACTACAGTACAGTGGTGCCTCGCTTGACGGCGTTAATTCGTTCCAGCGAAATTGCTGTAGAGTGAAAACGTTGTCAAATGAAATTAAAAAAACCATTGAAATGCATTAAAACCCGGTTAATGTGTTCCAATGGGCAAAATACCTAATCGTCCAGCAAAGATCCTCCATATGGTGGCCATTTTCGGGTGCCTGTCATGCGAAAAATGCCTCCAAAAAACAGCGGGGAGCTATTTTGAGCAGCCGGAGGCCATTTTGAAAACCCAATGATCAGCTGTTTTGATTGTCGTAATGTGAAGAATTGGTTCCCGAAGCAGGGAACCAATAGTCGCAAAGCGAAAAAACCCATTAAAACATTGTTTTGCGATTGCAAATCCATCATCGTGAAGCGGATTCGTCATTATACGGGGTAATCATTAAGCGGGGCACGGCTGTATAACATTCCATATTTAAAAAGTCTGCATCTCTGTTGTTCATGACTGTGAGTGGGAAATTGAAACCGTGAGTAAGACCTGATGAAATCATACTGTTGCTGAGGTAGAGTTCAATCTGATGTTTCATCCTCTTCTGTAGCTACCACTAGGATAATGAATGATTATGTTAGTAAAACTAACATAAAATAATGCTGCTTTGTATAACATGTGAACTTGTAGGCTGCAACTTTTCTATTGTGTACAAAACGTCTGGAATACAATGAGGCCCTAATTTTGCTCACAATGCCATCTTATGCCAAAAGGGTTATATCACAATGGGAAATTTATAAAAGAGCAGAGCCAAGAAGGGTATTTTTTTAAAAGTAACTAATTACAATCCCAAGGCCAAAGTAGTCAGTTACCACTAAAGTTGCAATTTTAAAATTCGACGTATTCGCGAAGGCTTTCACGGCCGGGATCTAATGATTGTTGTGGGTTTTTCAGGCTCTTTGGCCATGTTCTGAAGGTTGTTCTTCCTGACATTTCGCCAGTGTTGTCCTCTGAGGATGCCGGCCACAGAGACTGGCGAAACGTTAGGAAGAACAACCTTCAGAACATGGCCAAAGAGCCTGAAAAGCCCACAACAACCATTAAAATTCAACCTTTCACCTTCTCCATGGGTCCAAAAAAGTGACATTTGAAGCACTGGTCATTTTGAGTTGGAAGATACAGTGATGATCAGATGTCCAAAAAAATATCATTTGGCCTTATGTAAAGCAGTTTCCTATGTTCCCAAGCCTATAATAGAAATTATTGTACATCCCTTAGATAGTGTCGCCTGATAGATATTCAGATACAACCAATGCCGAAAAAGCAGGGGCATTTTCACACAATTTTTCTCACTCCTATTCTCTGTCCGCTTGTTCGTGGGCTTGTCTCTTTTGTCTCCCAGGGTTTGGAGTGAGTCACTCAATCATTAATAGTGGACGTTTGTTCCATACCGAGCAGCTTTTTGCTGCACCTGTGAATTTCTGTTGGTTTCCATGGCAATGATAGCCAGTTTATTGAGCGGATACAGCACCCCATCGTTCTTAGTGGTGTTCTCTGCAGTGACTGTGTTGTTTTTAAAAATTGTGACCTTATTTAGCACTTAAATAGGTTAGGAAGAACAACCTTCAGAACATGGCCAAAGAGCCTGAAAAGCCCACAACAACCATTAAAATTCAACCTTTCACCTTCTCCATGGGTCCAAAAAAGTGACATTTGAAGCACTGGTCATTTTGAGTTGGAAGATACAGTGATGATCAGATGTCCAAAAAAATATCATTTGGCCTTATGTAAAGCAGTTTCCTATGTTCCCAAGCCTATAATAGAAATTATTGTACATCCCTTAGATAGTGTCGCCTGATAGATATTCAGATACAACCATTGCCGAAAAAGCAGGGGCATTTTCACACAATTTTTCTCACTCCTATTCTCTGTCCGCTTGTCCGTGGGCTTGTCTCTTTTGTCTCCCAGGGTTTGGAGTGAGTCACTCAATCATTAATAGTGGACGTTTGTTCCATACCGAGCAGCTTTTTGCTGCACCTGTGAATTTCTGTTGGTTTCCATGGCAATGATAGCCAGTTTATTGAGCGGATACAGCACCCCATCGTTCTTAGTGGTGTTCTCTGCAGTGACTGTGTTGTTTTTAAAAATTGTGACCTTATTTAGCACTTAAATAGCAGTAGTTGTGTTTATTTTCCTGGTTTGGGATTATAATCTTTGAATTCATTCTGGGAAGCCTGAGACGTCCCTTGTAATAAACACAGTTACCTCAACACAGTTACCGCCTTTGTTAGTTTTGAAGAAAGACTGAAGGATCTTTCCTTGAGGTCTCCCCCTGCCAGATTCTTGGTGTCAAGAGAGAGCCCACTAGGATCTCAGATAGATAAGGCAGGAAAGAGATTTTCCAGCACTGTAGGAGCCTAGAGACCTGCTCTTGTAAATGTAGATGTAGGGTAGGAAAATTTCAGATGCCACCCACTGGGCCTGAAAGGACCACCCCTGTAACCCCAACACCCTTTCCTTTTTTAAACAATGAAAAAAGGGGTCCTCTTTTGGGTCCGAGGGGTCTTTTTTGGTTTTGAAGAAAGCTCTCTTGGGTCTCAAAGTGGTCTGACAGAGCCAAAATCATAGCAGACGTTCCCCCCCTTTCCCCCTATTGTTTTATTGAAAAAGTCTGCCCTTTGGCGATACTGGATTTTGGGGGCCACAAGATCGTCCAATGGTCTGCAATGGACTAAGCAGTGGTTCTTAATTATCTACAGATGATTTGAAGTTCAAATCCTAGAATACCTGAACATTGACCATGTTCACTGGGGAACTGAAATATAAAACATTGGCAAAGATGGAGTACGATCCACCTGAAGCAACTTCCTGTGTTTCTCGAAGTCATTTTTAAATTTCAGCTCAGGGCTGGTTTTACTCAGACATAGAATGAGCTCCTACTCCGCTCACCTTCAGGAAGAGCCACTAACCTTGACTCCAGCTACAACATGTTTAGCTGGTGGCATAGCAGCAATTAGCCATTTTGCTTTTACACCTTGACCTGGAGTGTATCGGCACTGGTTAATATTTGCTGTTGTCATAACTGATTTGTAATCAAGCAGAAGCAGGAGAACAGTAGGAACCCGGACTGAACTATAATGTTTTTTTGTGGCTACTGTGAACAATTTTACATTGCAAATTATCTAATCAGATCAAAGTACACACCTTTGTAATAAAAGAAAAATTGAAAATACCTCTGGGGGTCCAGTGCTGATAAAATATAGGGGTCATATATTATATGTCTTCACTGCTTCTGGCTGCCCCACCCCCTCCTCAACATCAGCCACCTGGATCGGGGGGGGAGAGAAGGGGCTTTGGAAAGCGTTTTTATTGTGATTATCAGTTGCCATCAGGCCATGTACGTAGAGACCCACAGTGGATCTGAGGGAACAGGAAGGAGGGAGGGCGTTGGAGGGCGCAGCCATTGAGGTGGTGCTGGGTAGGGGAAGGAATGGCGGTGGGGGTAGAACATGCCCACATAGGAGAAGAGAGGTTAAATATCTTACATCTCCCCCCTCCCCCAGTCCTCCCCCAACCAGATGGTATCAGGTGACCATATCAGCAACCCCTCGAGCCACACAGTGATGAACACCAGGTCAGTATAAAATAAGACTGCCCTCATCCATTATGCGATTCTGTATGAGGGTGCTGAGCTGGCGTGCATTACTGAGACCTGGGTGGGAGAGGAGAGTGGTGTTCCCCTCTCCCAGCTGTGTGTGCCTGGGTATTTGGTTCAGCACCAATGTCGCTCAGAGGGTTGGGAAGGGGAGTTGCTATTGTCTATAGGAGTTCTATCTCTTTGACCAGGCTCCCTATCCTATCCTATGAGAGGAGGTCTTGAGGGCCTGTCTTGCGTGTTGGGCTTATGAGAGAGATTGGGAATTCTGTTGGTGTACCGCCCACTCTGCTGCGTACCAACAGTCTCCCTGTCTGAGCTGATGGAGGTAGTCTCGGACCTGGAGTTGAGGACTACCAGGCTGTTGCTGCTGGGGGACCTCAACATTCATGCCAAGGCTGCCCTGACTGGGGCGGCTCAGGACTTCATGGCGGCCATGACAACGATGGGGCTGTTTCAATGTGCCATCGGCCTGACACATGAGAAGGGCCATACCTTGGACCTCATTTTCTCAATGGGACTAGAAGATGGTGGTTTGCATGTGGAGGGGGTGGTTGTGATCCCATTGTCATGGTCAGACCACTTCCCGGTCAAATTTAGTCTATTAGCTTCTTCTCCCCTCTGCAAGGGTGGGGGATCTATTAAGATGATCTGCCCTCAGAGACTAATGGATCCAGATGGTTTCCTGAATGCTTTGGGGGATTATCCATCGGATATGGTCGGAGCTCCTGTCAAAGCTCAAGTCACCCTATGGAATAGGGAGATGACCTGGGCAGTTGACACGATTGCGCCTAAGCGCTCTCTCCCTGCACGCTGAGCCCAGACAGTTCCTTGGTATACTTCTGAACTGTGGCGATGAAGCGAGAGGGGAGATGGCTGGAGCACAGGTGGAGGAAGTCCCACTGGGAGTCCGATCGAACACGACTTAGAGCCCATTATCAGGCCTATTTCGTGGCAATACGGCTGGCAAAACGACAATATTTCTCCAGCCATATTGCTTCCTCAGAATGTTGTCCAGCACAGCTGTTTCGGGTGGTCCGGGATCTTCTTCAACCGGAAATCTGGTGGAGGTTCTGGACTGCTCATCAGCTCACTGTGATGAGTTTGCTATTCATTTTGAGGGGGAAATCGCTCAGATTCGCAGTGGGCTGGACTCCACTGTTACTGCAAAATCAGAAGATGTGTGCTTAGGTCAAATATTAATGGATGAGTTTCAATTGTTGAGACCTGAGTTTGTGGACAGGGTGCTTGAATCTGTCCATTCTACCATCACTCTGCTCAACCCTTGCGGGATCTTCTTCAAGTCCCGGACTGCTCATCAGCTTTCTGTGATGAGTTTGCCATTCATTCTGAGGGGAAAATCATCCAGATTCGCACTGGGTTGGACTCCACCATTACTGCAAAATCAGAGGACGTGTCCAGTGTGCCGTGCTTAGGTCAAATATTAATGGATGAGTTTCAGTTGTTGAGACCTGAGCGTGTGGACAGGATGCTTGGATCTGTCCATTCTACCACCACTCCGTTTGACCCTTACCCATCTTGGCTAATTGGAAGATCTGCCAGAGGGGTTCGCAGCTGGGCCCAGGAGGCTGTGAACGCCTCTTTGAGAGAGGGAGTGGTCCCTACCACCTTGAAAGAGGCGGTAATTCAACCACTCCTTAAAAAGCCTAACCTGGACCCAAGGCTGGTGGTTAACTACCGACCAGTGGCGAACCTCCCTTATTTGGGCAAAGTGTTGGAGCGGGTTGTGGCCGGGCAACTCCAGGCACTGCTGGATGAAACGGATTTTCTGGATCCATTTCAATTGGGTTTCAGGCTGGGTTTTGGTATGAAGACTGCCTTGGTCACCCTGTATGATGACCTTTGCCAGTAGAGAGACAGGGGGAGTGTGACCCTGTTGATACTCCTGAACCTCTCAGCGGCTTTCGACACCATAGACCATGGTGTCCTTCTGGATAGGCTGGCTGGGTTGGGAGTTGGGGGCACCGCTTTATGGTGGTTCCACTCCTTCTTGGCTGACCGTGTCCAGAGGGTAGTGCTGGGGGACAGCTGCTCTATCCCATGGCGTTTATCTCATGGAGTTCCTCAGGGCTCAATACTGTCCCCCATGCTGTTTAACATCTACATGGAACCACTGGGAGAGGTCATCAGGAGGTTTGGGCTGACGAGTCAGCAATATACTGATGACACTCAGCTCTACCTCTCGTTTTGCACCCATCCAGGTGAGGTGATTTCTCTGCTGAACTCATGTCTGGACCTGATAATGGACTGGATGAGGGTTAATAAATTGAAACTCAATCCAGACAAGACGGAAGTGCTGTTAGTGGGTG